AGCTGGACTTTGAAGAAGAAGAAATACTCTATGGAGCAACAGTGGGACCTTGAAGAAGAGAAGATACTCTATGGAGCAACAGTTGGACAGTTGGAAGAAGCAGTTCTTCTCCAACCTAAGAAGGCATGGACCCCCAAGAGAGCAAACCAATGGCTCATCCAACCAAATCAATCAAGAGTTCTCACTAGAGGCACAAATGATCAGACTCAAATAATCTCACTTTGGACACATTATGAGAAAACCCACTCTCTGGAGACTATAAACCAGGAAAGATGGAAAAAAAAACTTATGCAAACATATATTAAGCAATGGACGGAAACCTCTGTACCTAACCTGGTTTTTCAACTCTTTCAAAGGTGCATTTGTCATCATCAGAAGACAGAGATCTCCCCAGAGAAGTAGAGAGAAATTTCCTAATAAGTGAGGACAATTAACCAGTGGAACAGCTTGCCTCCAGAAATCGTGGGCGCTCCATCACTGGAGGTTTTTAAGAAGAGACTGGACAGCCCCTTGCCTGGAATAGTATAGGATCTCCTGCTTGAGCAGGGAGTTGGATTAAAAGACCTCCAAACCAAGTACCCTTCCAACTTGGTTATTCTGATTGAGAGGGAAGAAGACAACCAGCAGCGAGATGGATGCTGGTGACAAGGGTCACAAATGCACCAATGGAAGAGTTTGAAAGACCAGGCTAGGGACAGATACTCCAGGAGAAAATCAGTGTGTGGTCTTGAAGAGTTGACACTGATTTGATTCAAGTTTTCTTTCACAGTGAGAAGAGGAGCACTTTGTTAGAACTCACCAATATACATATACATAAAGAATTATACATATACAGTATATATATGTATGTATGTATGTATGTATGTATGTATGTATGTATGTATGTATGGTATTCAGCTTTGTTCGGGTATTTTCCCACGTCATTATAGTTGTGCTTTTAAAGTTGTAGCAACGTTTCGGCAGAATCTCATCTGCCATCATCAGGCTTCTGCATTGTGTTCGTTTGTGAGTCAGGCTTTCACAACCGTTTCTGTGAAAGTCTGTGAAAGAAACGGTTGTGAAAGCCTGACTCACAAACGAACACAATACGGAAGCCTGATGATGGCAGATGAGATTCTGCCGAAACGTTGCTACAACTTTAAAAGCACAACTATAATGACGTGGGAAAATACCCGAACAAAGCTGAATACCATATATATATATATACACACACACACACACACACACACACGCATGCCCGCACACACACACATATATATATAGTGTTCGCTGCCTTCTTTTGAATTCCGAAATAATTTTTCTTGTATTCCTTAGCTCAAAAGTGGAGGAAAGAGTAAATATTGGTTTTATTTGTTTTAAAATTGTGATAATTATCATGCTGCTATAGAGAGCAGAGGAAACAAAATCCTTGTCGCAGAGTTTTCTAGAAATATTTTAAACGGATACATGCAGGGGTGGGATTCTACCGGTTCAGACCGGTTCGAGCGAACCGGATGTTAAATTTGCCTCTGGTTCACCGAACCGGTAGTTGAACCAACAGGCTGGCCGCTCCCCCCTGCCCCCCCCCCCCAGGAGTCTCTATGTGGCCCATTTTCGATGCTGGTAAGTGGAGAGTTCATGCGGAGGCACTGGGAGGGGGGAAAACAGGACTTCCGGAAGTACCAGAAATCACAAAATGGGCTTCCGGCTTCCAGACGGCCTCCAGAACCTGGGGGAGGCTGTTTTCACCCTCCCAGAGGCCCAAGGGAAGCCTCTGGACCCTTGGAAAGGTGAAAAACAGCCCTCCCCGGAAGTTCTGGTAGGCCACGCCCACCATGGCCACACCCACCCAGCAACTGGGCAACGAACCTGTTGCTGGGATTTTTGAATCCCACCCTTGGATACTTGTGTGTCCCAGGAAGGGGTCAGTCTGTTCTCCTCCCTCGTGCTTCCCCTTTGCACAAACCCCTTTCAGACGGCTCTCCTCTTGGTCTTCTTTCCACAACAGTATCGAGTCGGGCAGCTTTACACCATCAGTAAGCACAGCCACCAGGAGAGCGACAGAGGAGAAGGGGTGGAAGTGGTGAAAAACGAGCCTCATGAAGACCCTATCCATGGCCAGGGTCAGTTCACCGAGAAGCGAGTCCACCTGTCCAGGTGAGGAAGCGTCAGCAACGTTGCGAGGGCTGGTTTCCTGCTTCTCTTCTTCTCTCTCTTGTGGGCAACTCCGCTAAAGGGGCCTTGTGCCGTTCCTTGCAATAGCCCTGCAAGGCAGGTCAGGAGTTTCTGAATGTATTCCTGGAAGGGGAAGAAGGCGTACTAAGTGTATTCTGTTTACGGAGCAACACAACACATTGTGTTGATGTAGGGAAAGCAATGAGTTAAGGAGGAGTCACTGTATGACGTTGATGGACAAGATTTTTCTTTGCCTTGTCATTAGGTCTGTTTTCTTTATGTCCTTTCCATTATATTTGATCCTTTCTTTCCTTATTCCCCTTCCCTTCCCCTTTTCTTTCCTCTTTCTCTTTCCTCTTTCTCTTCTCCCTTCCTCCAGCCATTTCCTTTTCCCTTTCACTCCCTTGCTCCGTTCCCCCTCCCCTTCCCTTCTTTTCCCTTTCCCTTTCTTTTCTCTTTCCTTCTTCCTTTCCTTCCTTTCCCTTTTCCCTTTCACTCCCTTCTTCCTTTTTCCTCCTCTTCCTCCTTCCCTTCTCTTTCTGTTTTCTTTTTCCTTCTTCCTCTCCACCTTCCCTTTCTTTTTTTCCCTTTCTTTCTGTTGACCTCCTTCCCTTTTCCTATTTCTTTTCCTGCAGCCAATTGCTGCCCACCTTTGTTTCAACTCTTATCAAACCTCCTTCAAATTGTTGCTCTTATATTTCACTCTTAACAATGGTGGGATGTTGACCTTTGGAAAGGTGCTATCATTTGCAAAATAAAATAAAATAACAGTAGTAGTTTGTGAGAAGGTGCCAATAAGCAGCCCTGAGATTGCAGGGTGCTTAGTGCACGCACCTTAATTCATGCTACATTGACTTTCTCCCAAGACTGAATCCTTGCTACGAAGGATCATTCTCCTCCACCTCCACCGTGCCGTTTTGATTTTCTCCAATATCCATTTGTTCTCTGCTTTCCAATTAACCTGTCGTGAAAACTGACAATGGCTCTAGGCCGGGTTTTGCAACCTGTTAAATATTCCACCAACCATCCATTTCTCCTTCCCTACCATCCCTACCATCTCTCCTTCCCTACCATCTCTCTGCCTTGCAGCTCTCACGCATCAGCCGCTTCCGGTCCAAATCTTCCCATTTTTGCGGAATGAGCCAATTGTTTTGGGAGATGCTTGAAGTGGGCAAGGTCCTTGCTGCCGGAGATCTTGGATCTGTAGCTCTGCTAGGTGGGATTCATGGAAATCATCACCCAGGCTTTCTATCCCCTTTTCATGTTGGGCAGAGGTCTTGTGGATAAGTAGTATCAGTAGCGCTAGCAGAATCATCTACGTTGTGGGTCATCTAAGGGCTGGAGGTAATCAGCTATACCCTGGTATACCGTCCAACTACCACAATGGGGCAACGTGACCTGTGATACTTGGGGAGGGGATCATTTCATGATAGCTAAATTTTGATCTCTTTTTTTTTCCAAATAAAAATGTAAATTGGTTTCATTTTAATTTAACTTGAAGGAATGAGGCCAGTCTTTTGACAGATGCCAAACACCTCCTGTTCTTCAATTATAGCAGCTGGACAGGGAAGATGTTCAAAATAAATGCATATCTCCTTCTGCCCCGTTATGAGCTGTTGTCTCCTATCTCTTGCAGGTTTTTTTTGCCCATTCTGGATAAAAGAGTAATAGAGTTGAAAGAGACCTCGGAGGTCTTCTAGTCCAGCCCCCTGCTCAAGCGGGAGAACTTATACCATTATGGACAAATGGTTGTCCAGCCTCTTCTTAAAAGCCTCCGGTGTTGGAGCACCCACAATTTCTGAAGGCAAGCTATTGCATTGTTTAATTATTCTTACAGTCAGGTAATTTCTCTTTAGTTCTAGGTTGCTTCTCTCCTTGATGAATTTCCATCCATTGTATCTTGTCTTGCCTTCTGGTGCTTTGGAAAATAGGTTGTCCCCCTCTACTTTGTGGCAGCCCCTCAAATATTGGAACACTGTTATCATGTCACCCCTGGTCCCTCTTTTCATTAGACATACCCAGTTCCAGCAACCGTTCTTCGTATGTTTTCTCCTCCAGTCCCCTAATCATCTTGGTTGCTCTTCTCTGCACTCTTTCTAGAGTCTCAATTGTTCAATTTCCTCCTTTGACCTTTATCGTTACCTTACAGAGCACTATAGACACAGCCAAATCTCTTGATTTATTGACAGGATATGGTTGTTAGCTATCGGCTCTTTCTCCCCCATTAGCCAGTCTTGGTTGAACCTTCTCAAGGAAATGGGCTGTCATCCTTGAAAGCATTAAACATTCTCTGCAGATGAGGGAAGAAAAATGATGCCTTCAGGGCCATCATTTATACTGCTCACTTTCCAGCCTTCTTCCTCCCTCTGTTTCTGGCTGCAGGCCCCTCGATCAATAACATTTTACTTTCCAGGAAAAGGTTGTTTGAGTTAATTGACTCAATGAAGTTGACAACACTGGCTAGGTCAAGGTCAGCCTCCTTTCTTTGATCTGGGGAGGGGACTCCTTTTAGATCAGACCGAAGAGTCCCACTAACTCAACCGTGGGGACCTCTTGTCATCATGAGTGAAGCACTGTGGGAGAAAGGGGATTTTTTTCGAGCCTTCCCCAGGAGCTTCAGAAAATAGTTATTCATGATGGGAAATCTCTGGGTAGCTTCTTCATCAGCTCCTGATTCTGATAACTGCTGCTATTACCTTTTCGAGCTCAGCACCATGCAGAAATGTTGAATTACAGCTCCCATCATCCTGCAGTTAACTTGATGGTATTCTTGTCCACACAACTTCAGGATATCAAGTTGGAGAAGTTTGTGCTCACAACTGCTGATTGACAGTTCCTTCTGCAGCTTGCTCTTTCAGCAATGAATGAGGCAATGAATGAAGGGTCTTCCCTTTAACCTCCTTCTGTATTACTATATGCCTTCTAGAAGTCCTGAGGCTTTGTTGTTCTTAGGAAATGAGTGGAGGGTCTTCTCCTTAACCTCCTACCATGTTGTGTCTTCTGAATGTCCTGAGGCTTTGCTGTTCTTATAAAGTGAGAGGAGAGTCTTCTCTTTAACTTCCTTCCATGTTCTGTCTTTTAGACATCTTGAATCTTTGATGTTCATAGAAAATGAATGGAGGATCTTAACCTTCTTCCATGTTATGTTTTCTAGAAGTCCTGATGCTTGGTTCTTCTTAGGAAAGGAGTGGAAGGTCTTCTTCTTAACCTTCTTCCATGTTATGTTTTCTAGAAATCCTGATGCTTGGTTCTTCTTAGGAAAGGAGTGGAAGGTCTTCTCCTTAACCTCCTTCCATGTTGCATCTTCTAGAAGTCCTGATGTTTTGTTGTTCTTAGGAAATGAGTGACTGTTCTCCTTAACATTGTGTGTTCTAGAGGTCCTGATGTTTGGTTCTTCTTAGAAAATAAGTGGAGAATCTCAGCCCTCCTTCCATCTTGCATCTTCTAGATGTCCTGAGGCTTTGTTATTTTTAGGAAATGAGTGGAAGGTCTTCTCCTTAGCCTCCTACCATGTTGTGTCTTCTGAATGTCCTAATGCTTTGTTGCTCTTAGGAAGTGAGCAGAGAGTCTTTCCTTTAACTTCCTTTCATATTCTGTTTTTAGACATCTTGAACTTTCGATATTCTTAGAAAATGAATGGAGGATCTTCTTAACCGCCTTCCATGTTATGTCTTCTAGAAGTCCCGAGGCTTGGTTCTTCTTAGGAAATGAATGGAAGGTCTTCTCCTTAACCTCCTTCCATGTTGCGTCTTCTAGCAGTCCTGATGCTTTATTGTTCTTAGGGAATAAGTGGAAATGAATGGAAGGTCTTCTCCTTAATCTCCTTCCTCATTGTGTCTTCCAGAGGTCCTGAGGCTTTGATGTTCTTAGGAAATGAGAGGGATGGGTCTTCTTGAGGTCCTGATGCTTTGTGGTTCCTTCCTCATTCCAGGGTGCTGCTCCTAAACAAAGCCAAGCCCTGCCCATGAATGAAAAAGAGTGCGTTGCCTGAAAGGGGAGGAGAAACCCTAACACAAGGGTCTTCAAACTTGGTAAGTTTAAGACTTGTGGACTTCAACTCCCAGAATTCCTAAGCTAACAGGACTGGAGGAGGAATTCTGGGAGTTGAAGTCCACAAGTCTTAAAGCTGTCAAGTTTGAAGACCCCTGCAAGTTGACCATAGCTATTACCTGAAGGGATAGTCGTCACTGCTGCTCCCTCACCCCCTTTGAGGCATCTTGTAACACATCTTGTTATCCTTAGATGACCCTGAATCCATGCCACTCATAGGAAACAGGGCTCTGCAGCCACCTTGGAGCAAGCTGGGCATCCCTCTTACAAAGTTTTGATTGATTCTCATCCTCTTTTTCAATAGCCAACCCTGTCATCTTGTATTACATCCCCCCCCCCCCCAGTTCCAAATGCACGATGCCTGCAAGGTTCAATTGGGCTAAATTCATTTAAATGCAGGCTCTCCGACCTGCAATTGAATTTAGGATTAGCCTGTCAGTCTCTCTCTGTTTACCTTTGTCCTTTCCTCCCAGCTTACACCAATATAAGCAGATATTACCCTGCAAATGCATTTGAGCTAAAGCCCTAAGCATTTCTTCCCAGCTGGCTTAAACTCGGCTTCCCAATTTTGGGCTGGATGGATTGCTTGATTAACCTGGAATATAAGCCCCCCGGTAACTCACTAACACCCCACCAGCATGGATCGGTCTCTTTGCAATACCGATCAACACCAGTTGGCCATCGCTAGAGCTGTCCATGTGGGAAAGAGTTATATTTTTAGCCTATGTGTTCTCACGACTCTTCTCCTAAGGGAATTCTATTTATAGAGGACAAAACCAAACAGGAATAATTGAGTGATGGGAAAGGGAGATCATTTCTCCTTGCAAATTCCAGCTGGCAGGTGACACCACAGCAAAGCGGAACCTTTCTGGAACGGAGGGCTCCGGTGTGACAGCTGCCAGTGGAGAACTTCAGCCATTTTTACTTGGTGT